GTGAACTGGCGGTTGATCAAAAACCCTGATTCCAAGCCAGCCAAGAAGAGTTGTACAAACTGCACTCACACCTTCCCATCTCTGCCGGTGATCGCGCGCTCTGTTCGACACCTGGGAAAATTAACGCTGTCCAACGGGTGTATTATCAGAATAACCAGTTGCCAGCTCCCAACAAACTGTGGTTTCCACACTCCACCCGGTTGCCTTGTGTACCGATGACTCCAATTGTCTGTCTTCCATCCGCCGTGGCCGTATTCCGCGCAGTAGTAAGCCGCTAACCCCTATACTATTTATAAAGATTTCTCTACCGTGATTTGGCACGGTCAGGTTTCCCACCCGTGTAAAATATACCATACATGGTTTATTCAGTGTTGCGGTTTGTTGGACAATCTAATTCCTAATCCATTACAAGTATATTTATGATTGATTCTCACATACCCCCGACCAATATGCCTGTTTCCGGTTTCAATGTTATCAAAGACTTGGGATGCTTAAATTCGGGTTTTATTACGTCCAAGTGACCCAACTCCCTTTTCACTTCACTTCCTGTTTCATGCACGCCATTCGTAAACGCACGTGATTAATAGGGTTGAAATTGTTTTCTCTCTTTTCTTCATCCATAGGTTACGAAAAATTGGTGGCGACATCCTTTCCTCGCTCTAGTAGCATCTGGCGAAGTAAAACGTTGGATTGTGGCCACTTCAAATATGAGGCCGGGTGATATTATTCGATCTCACGTGGATATTCCTCTCATTCCGGGTTCGTATGCTTTTTACGTATGCAAAATTATCTGTTATTATAACTTCTCTGGTACAGCCTTAGCGTGATACAAATAGGTCAAACAATTCGAGATTGAAACTTGCAGTACACGCTTATTGCCATTTGTCATCTGTTGTAGTTCTGTTTTTTCAGCCTAGTCCAGAACTCAAAGCTATCACTATTTCAGATGACTGGAATTACCTCAAAGAAAACACAATGTAGCGAACATGAGTTGTTTTCAGTGTTTCGTCTTCGATGGCTAAGACATTAGTGGGTTTAAACAGAGTAACTATACTGATATCGGTTTCCCGACGGAGGATTTAAAAACTTGCTTTGTTTTTTACGTGTATTGCAGCTTAAACTATAATATTTCTCGTCAGAAGGTTGAAGGTCCCATTATTTGCGGATACTTTCACGGTGATGCTGTATAATTCGACTCAAATCTGTCATCTGAATATATAAACTGGACATAAAATGTCAAGGATATTGTTTCGTTGACGAGCAAATATTGATGTTGATAAACTGCTGTTAACATTTAACACTCAATTTTAGTGTAGCGGAGGAAACTAGAAACCAGATAGCACTTCATGACGTGTTCTTAAAATGCCCTGAAGATAGGTTTATTCAACGCTCGGTTTGCCGGAAAGCCACGTCGCCGAGTGCATGCATTCATTTCAAAGCTTCATATCACTCAGAAGAAAGCGAAATCTAGTTCGATGTTTCGACAACAGAAAACCTACAGTAGTAATACCATTCATATCGCACTAGAACTTTTTGCTCAGGTCTTCAAACACAATGGCTACGTGAATTGGTTTGTTCAAAGAGCGGCTGTGTCTCAATATTCTACCACGGACAGGTAATGCTATGTCGGAAATAGTCACTCGATGACAACAGCCACCAACCAAATCTTCTAAGCGGCTAACATTCACATCCAGGCCTGCCATAAACCTCCAAGTCAATGTTCCTGTTTCTGCTATCTCACCTTGTGTTCATTCTTTCACTCGTTCCTGAGGGACAGTGTAGATTGGTTGCACTAGAAGGCGCTTGATTTCTCGAGCATTATCCGGCCTGGTTGCGCGATAGAATTACAACATCAATCACACGAGGAACCTGTTCACAATCTGTGGAGTCAGGTCGTTCAGCAGACTTACCTACTTTATCAAGTCCACGAGCGGCAGTCTAGGTGAATCAAATCATCGCGTCCTGGCCACAGCTCAAATTCGAGTTCACACTTGCTCCTCATGTGCACTGTCTCATCTAGCCATCTGACTACCGTACTGTGGTTTGCCCAGCATAGTTTCTTTTTATGTCTTGCTTTCTTTTTCAATTATTGAACATACAAATTTACGGTCAACTTTCAGGAAGGGGCCGCGGCCTAAGGGGACGCATACAAATTGGCTAGGTACCTAACCATGATCGGGAAACATTTTACTTTTCATGTGCACTTTATTCTATGTATATATGACTATTGAAAGTAGCCTTCGACTCAGTTGACCCCGAAGCTCTAATGCGTGCTCTTCTTCGAAAAAGAAATATCCCAGAAGCACGTTAACTGACTGAGGTCACTATCCTCACATACCTCTGATCCAGTGAGGGTTTATAACGAACTAAGTATGCCGTTCTTGAAGGGTGCCTAATTTTGCAAGTAGAAGAAATTCTGTAGAATACAGTAAGTGGTCTTCAAAAGGTAGGTAATAAATGGGTAGCTGGAGCGAAGCGATTTGGAGTAGACCGATGACATCGTCTGTTTATTCAAATGTATGGAGGACGCGTTAAGCACACTTGAGAGACTAACAAGTGCTGTCGCCACATTCGGTATGTGGTTTGCACCTTCAAAGTGTAAAATGATGCTGTGAGACTGGATGTCGCCTACTCGCACTCTGGAATTAAATGGCCAAGAATTAGTTATAATGGATTGCTTTTAATACTTAGTTGGGTGACGAATGACGGCAGCGCTGCAAAGAAGATAGCCGCCCGCATTTCCACGGTTTCTCCGTAAAAGAACCAAACTACCTGAAAGAGAGCACCATATACTCCTAACGTGATCTGACTATTGTTCATCACAGCCTCTAGTCTTATTAATCGAACATTGAATAGAATACTAATTATTATAGATAATCTCATTATTATTCCCCGGCTATTAAAAGTTCGCGATTGATTCAGGCCTGATTACCGGGACCGTGCGTTAGTGTGTCAATGGATAAAAGTGGAGAAGAGTCATGAAAGACTGAAAAACGAGTTGTGTAAAAATAAGCGTAACGTCCTTATTGCACACATACACAATAAATGCCCAAGTTTTAATAATACGGGTGAACTGCACATCATTTGTTCCACGAGGGGAAACTTCTGAAATGCTCAAGACACTACTCACAAGTAACGCGGTATCCGAAGGCTTGTATATAACTATAACTATAAGTTGCTAAAGCGTCAATATTATGCAAAGAAAACTATAGCATGTAGATTAACCCAAAAGACTATTGTATGTGACCGGAAGTTGATCAAAAAATGACACGACGTCAAAAATGAGTTATGACCGCAAAAACCAAGGTTTGGGCTTTTTCTTCGTATTCAGATTTTGCTTTTCAGAGGAACGTCGTTGCCATGTTTCCGCCCACGTTCCAACAGGAGAAAAATGAAACTGTAAATGAACTCCACTATATTCGAAGGGATGTATTCTACCGATATTATTGCACATTAAAAGTGATTGAATACAGCTGCTCAAGTCTGATAGTTACGGCCTTCCGGTTCCCGGATTTGTGATTAAAGTCCGACGGTTTATTCAGCGCATAACACAATATAGAAAATAAGATATTTTCAGTTTTTGTAAGTTGAGACTCATTTAAACAATGTGATGTGCAGAGATGACAAAAATATCGTTCTGTGCTTTTGATGCAAGGTAATTCATTGTGTACAACTAACTAATACACGATCTCAGTCCGGATGGTGAGAGAAATTCACTGTCTGGTTTCAATGCAGTTATTCATCGTAGCTCCTTCTATCTGGTTTACTTCTACCGAGAAAGGAAATGTGTACACTAAACACGTTTTTCTATGTTGTTGCTTACCCACTCGATTCATTCTACCTTTTCATGCTGTATTAGCTGAACGGATCATAGATTCAGTTGCCTTCTGGTAAAAATTCGGCATACTGTTCATACCCCATCGGTTGTCTGCCGCATGCGGAAGAACCAGGCTGGTTTTAAACTTGTTTGTTTACGCCATATTTTCACCAGCCGCCAAAATCTGGAACACGAACATTCCTTTCCTTGATTTACCATTTATATCCTCCCAAGAGATATGATATGAAAGTTAACGAAATCAGATGTGTTACTCCTATCAGATACTTTTCACACCCCATATTCCTGAATATTTTACCTTCTTTGACCGTATTGTCTTAGCAGGACTGTGAATAAGATGAATCGTTCACAACTAATTACATTTCATCTAAGCTTGAAGTTTTACTGAAAGAAAAGGTTTTAAACTCTGTTTTTCTTATTTTCTGGCACTCCAAAGTCGTTCTTTTATCGTCACTATTGTCAAAACCAATATTTGTTATGCCCGATCGACTAATTCACATTTATTTAGTGGATCCACGCAATGGCGACGCACATCCAGTTGGCGCTTTGCCCGTTGGGACTACAGTTTGCCTAGTCGAATTAGAACCAGGTATGGGCGCAGTTCGATGTCGAACGGCCGGAACTAGTGCCACGGTGATTCGACGAGGCAAACTTGTTGGAGATCCGACAGCATTACCACCGTCCGAACTGAGTGCAGACAATTTGAACGACCTGACGGATGATCATGTGGTCATGCTCCGACACAACGGAGACCGCAAGCTGTTCAGAGTGCTACCCAATTGCATGGCTGTTGTCGGTCAGGTATCAAACGAGGATCATAACAAACAGCGGTAAGCTGAACGCAAAGAGTAGATTCGATTTTTCATTCCTAAATTACTTTTACAGCGGAGCGGATCATACGTACCTATTAGAATAATTTTTGGCTTCGTATTCTATCAATTACTTTTGCTGGATAGAGATCGTGTTGTAAACCAAAACATATCGTAATTTTTAAGCATATGCGGCAAATTTATTGTCCTGACTATCAGTTCATGACGATCGTTTATAAATTCTCTACCACTCTGATAACAGTGATTGACCAAAATGTGAGTGTGACTCGATAACTATCTTAGTTAAACCATCAGTCACAACTCCGGTCAGCCGATTTTTCACTACCCAAACAGATTACGCTCATGTCAATTTCGTTGTCTAGTTTTGGGTTAAGGTCCTTGGAATTAGCATTTTATATTTTTTAGAGACAGGTTATTTCGAAAACTTATTATATCATTCGGTATCAAATATAAATTTCGATTAGCTTTTATCACTAATCTAAAAATCAAATTTGCTATTATCTTCTCGGCCTAGTTACTCGAAATTTGGCGAAAAGAAATGGCGCGGAATCAAACAACGCAGCGGACTATGGCAACGTAAAACAGGTCGATTTGGGCGCAAAATCTATCCTATCGGACCTCCACTTGATTATGTTGCTCCTTCTGCCCCCGAAAGCAAATTGATCCTGAAGTACACCCGACCGGAGGATGCAGAATATACCAGAGCCAAACAACGTGAACTACATGCTCTGCTCCATCCGGTCCCCGGAAAACCCCGTCCTCAACCAGTCCCACGGGAACATAATGGGTTACCTACTTCCCAACCTTTATTCCGTTGGTGTTCTTGGTCTTATGTTCGATGAACTAATCACTTTTGGAAAGATATTTAGCTCTGTTTTTTGCATACATATATAAAAAATTATGCAGTTTGTTCTTTATCTAGTTGGTTTTAGACTCAAGATGGACACGGGATTTGTTAAACAAACATTTTGGTCCACTAGAATGTAAAGCACGGTATAATTTAGCTGTCATATCAAAGAGTAAAGTTGAAATATTACAGTATTCAGTGCTTGAATAGGCAGTCGAAAAAGGTATTCTAAACAGCCCCACAGGACATACGATGATACAAATTGGCAAATAATTGCGAAACAATTAAGATGTTAAGCTTTGCATAATCAAGTTACTTTCCCGTTTCCTTGGTAAACCCCTATGTAATTGTTCCCATATACTGGGTTGCGCATGCATAGTTATAAAGTACTGAAAAAGAGGTTATTTGTCACTGCGTGTTCTACAAATGCTGTAAATTTCACCACGCTTTACGATGCAAGTTCACTTAGGAGCATTCTGTTTGCCGCGTAAATCACAAATCCGTTTGGACATGGAAGTTCCCTCAATATTTCGACTCGGTATCATGTCAGCTGAATAGAAAAACCTGTTTGCTGCCTGTTCCTTGTCAATCTTTTTACACTTAAACCTAAGCCAAGGACACAATTCAAACAACAAGAAAACAGAAATGACCACCCTCCAGCGTTTTCGATAAGATGCAGTTCGCGGTTTTATTCTGATAGGTCTGTACAGGTGTCAACACGCGTCAGTACCATGCGTGGACCAAGTCCACCGCGATGTCAACAGTCTCTTGTCGATGACGTTTGTACATCCGAGGAATGTCAAATCTCAATTCGGCAACCACTTCCGCTTGGGCATTCAGATTGCGTATTGTACGGAGGACAAACTGAAACGAAAAACAGAATAGGCTATTCGTGAAGTGAAATTAAGTGTTTCATATCGTGGAACCAAAGAGTGTCGGTTTTCTGTTCAATGAATCAGTTTGAGATGGGAAACCACTGAATCGGATAAGAACGCAGTTTTAAGCACTTGAAACAAGTGACATTAGAATAATGAATGCTGTCTCGTTTAATATAGTCATTCGAGAAACTAGCAAACCAATGAAAATTTGAGGAATTGGTTCTGACTGCATCCACTTTCTGCTTATCGCTTTGATGTGCATTGATTCTGCCCCTCCAGTAAACTTCTTTTCACCGGTTCAATATCTTCTTACTTGATGATACGCCGTCTTCTAACCTGTGTTTAGAATTCTTCATAACGCGAAATATAGTTAAAGGGTCAGACGCCATGACGAAAACAGATCTGAAGTCCACCGCTGGGAGCGCAGAGAGAAAAGGTTTCCAGACAGGCTCCTGATGAAGTCACTTTTCCAACCCACTAGTTAAAATCGTCTGAGGACTCATTCGAATGAGTTCAATGGCTGTCATTTATCTAATCTTTTCTGTCCATCAGAACTGCAGCTAGTGGGGGCCTAAACTGAGATTACACACAAGTAACTTTTGGTGTTGCTTCTTTTCCAAGTAATGAGTAACCGCTGGAGCCGCATTGCATCTAAGAGACTGGTGGTAGGAGTCCAATTAATAAGTGACATTTAGGCTTTGTCGTTTAGTACAATACTCAATCCGTGCTCCTGAAACGTGAAAGCAGTACCTTGGGGACAAACAGTGGTAAGTTCAAACTGGGTCGTTCAGAAAACAATCCGGAAATGCTGATGGCGCAGTAAACACTACGGTGGACAATAGACTAGTATGGGGATACACGATAAACTTACATCACGAGTAGTAGTTTTGTGAAGTGAATACACATGGCACTGTGCTATGGACAAAGCTCGCTTCAGAAATTCTATATCGATGCCTGAAAAGCCAAGTAAAGTATTTAAAGATTGTGCATACCCGCATTGGATAGATTGGTTCCAAACGGAGGATTAAGAACCACAGTATCAAAAAGTTTCCGATCTTCCTCTGCACCAAATCGGATGGCATCGCACAAAATAGCATCAATCGCCTCATCTTTCATATCGAAAGATTCTAAATTCTGAACAAGGTCAGAGATAGCATCTGGATCTATATCCACAGCCACCACATAACTGGATTGAGCAGCATATGAGCTCGTCTATTCGACGTACCTAGCTCCCAATAGACGCGCACCGATAGAAAGTATGCCTGGTCCACATCCAAGATCTGCAACCGACATACCTTGCAGCGAACCATGCATCATTTGCATGTTGAACAAAATATCCGCTAAATGAAATCGATCAATTTATCAAAAACTAAAGTACTCACTTGCCACATGTGGTGACGTTGGATACTGTTCGAGCTGGATTTTCGGGCTACTGAAATTGTTGACGCTTTGCAAAGCAGACTGCAACTTTTTCCGATTTATGATAGTAGATGGCATCTCAAACTGGTGAGCAGTTTACCAGTCAGCTATGAGGCAATTTAATTATCTTATGATTTCATTATGACTGAACAATACCGATGAATCATGTCCATAGACAGGCTGAAAATCAAAATTTGAATGGTACTTTAGTTTTTTAAACAGCTGATGTCCAAAGTTTCAGTTTCAGTTTATACAAACATTTACTAGGCACTTTTGTGCGACTGACTTGGTTGGTCTTTTACCACTCATTTTGATGGAGGAGTAGAGGGAGGATGGAAATGTTGGAAGAAGGGTGGTGGTGGCGGTGGTGCAATGTCTGTGACGTGCTTTGAACCGAATAGTCCGAGGTTTGAACCCAATCATCGTCACCCGACTTTGGTGATAGGCGGCTTTGTTGTTGTCCGGTCTCAAACTGTCTCGGGACTTAGGTTGCCAGTTTCCATCCCTGAAACGCAGGCCTTTGCGACTATGGGGTCCACTCTATCTGTTGTTTATTACACAAATGTGCGTGATAAAAAATACCTCACAATGTTAAGGTGTCTAGGGGTTCGAAATAGTCAGCTATCCAAAACTCTGCTAGAAATACTTTCAAACGTCTTAAATAGCCTATGCTAAGAAGGCCCCACTCACCGCTTTTGCGTGGCGGTTTTAACACCAGAGTGGTAGAGCAGGTGAGAATGTTCAGCGTTTTTCACCGGCTTGACTGACCATTGATATTCCGTCTAGGAGAGTCCGCTAAAACCCTGAGTTCCAACAACACGAAGCTTGTTTGAGACCGACCCCAACTGCCATGTTACCACCTTGGGAGATTTCGACGTTCATAATCAGGAATGGTTGACACATTCACCTGTTAGTTCTTCTTTGGGGCGCGCAGCCGAACATTTCGTTTTGGTCAACAGCCAGAGCCAACTAGTTGACCTCCCCGCACGAGTCCCTGAGCAAGCTGGCGATCTTTCCCACATCCGCGATTACTTTGGCTCTTTCTTTCTCCTAAAATATTTGTACTCTCTCTCCTCTTGGCTCATGGGACCACTGTACTGTTTCTTGCTCTATTGAGTTTACTGTGATTGTTCTCGTGAGTTCCTAGATTCTTATCCTTGAAATGATTTTTGATTCACTTCAGACGTTTCCAAACTCACCGGCATTGTTCTCTAATGTATGCATCCTTATATTCTAAACCGGGCAAACCTAAATCCTCGAGAGGTTTAACCACGCATATGATCGTGCTTTACGCCTAGAATGCTCAGTCTTCCGCCGCTTGCTCACTCACACCATTGCTTTGTTTGAGCTAGGAACGTGTTTTCGACAACCGCTCAGAAAATCAAAGGACGTTCGTTCGCTGCAGAGTCGAAAACTTGGTCTCATCCGCCACCGGTAGCAGAACATTTTGGCCCATAGCCAAAGAAATTTCCCGTAATTTCCGCCTTTCCAACTTCTCCTCTATCTATAATTGATTTCAACCACACGAGAAAGCCGAACTTTTTGCTTTCCGATTTACCGTCAACTCCACCCTACCTGATTATTCTACTCCGCCACCTTATTTCACTGGCAATCCTTTTCTACTTCATATTAGCGCTAGGAAAATCCGCCAAACATTGTGCCCTCTGAACGCAAACAAAACACCCGGTCCAGGTGGTATTCCAGACATTGTCCTCGAAATTTCCTCCTTATCATCGTTGTACAGCGAGATACAGTGAAGTGAACTTTACTGACCGCTGCCAAACTCAATGCATAAAAGCTAAGTGAGAATGTGTAAGGCGGATAGGGATTGGACTTAATTTTAGGGACGGGAAAAGAAATCGAACCTCAATGATCAACACACAGAGCAAGCAACCCAACTGTGCATACATACTATTTCAAGCACTCCCATCTTATAAGAAATAAAAAGAAGACGATAGACACCTACTCTACCTAATCGCTCTGTGCATTTCGTCGTGCCTCGTCTCCACATCGTATGCTGGCTTCGACGTGGCTTTCTCTAGTCTGCAGCGGCCACTGTAAATAAGGCACAGTGTGGTAGGCGACTGTTAAACATACTCAAAACGTGTCGGGACCAACGGAGTCTACTGATCTGAACTCTGATACACAGTTCGTGTTCGATGCATTCCCAAACACTCGACGACTTACTTCTAGGTTACTAACCCACTTGACTGTCGGAAACCACTAGGCGACGGATGTCTTCTACCCGAAAATTCAAGGTCTCCCAACATAGAGCAGAACTGATCGTGCAGTGGCGCAGTATGTGACGATTCAACTTCAATGAAACGCCACTTCGTCGCCACAGGTGTTTAAGTCCTGTGTACGCTGCTCGACCCTTGGGAATACGGGCGGCTATCTCCTTTGATGCACTATCGTCGTTGGTCACGCAACTACCCAGGTACGAATAGCAGCCAAATTCAGCTAATTCCTGACCATCGAGTTTCAGAACGGGACTCGGCGACACTCGGTTTTGCAGCATCATTTTGCACTTTGAAGGTACAAAGGGCATGACGACAGAACGTGCGCTTCGTGCCTCCTCCATACACAAACAGACGATGTCGTCAGCGTATTCCCAATCACACGGTTTTCCTCCAGCTGCCCATTTAATGCCAACATTTTTGAGACTACTGAGTGCGTTCTCCATTATTTCGTCTATGATGAAATTGAACAGGAATGGCGAAAGAGGGCACCCTTAACGAAAAAACTTGCTGGTTTCGAACGACTTACTCAGCTCGCCAAAGA